CTTTCTTGTTTCAGCTGGGTCCTGTTGAGTCATTTTCACAATGCAAGGTACTGTAGAGACGCGTCTGTGAGTGGGCTACGTATCGCTAAGGTAAGGGGAGCTAGAATACGTTTTTAAATTGGTTGCATGTGGTGTATGTATATGGATTTTTGTACTATTATGTTGTTGATGTTGTGCTTTGATTTGAGAAGATTTATTTGCATGTGTTGGATTGTATGACTGTGGGACTTGAGTGTGATGATTTTAAACTGTTCTGGATGTATCTAATTCCTGTAACTACTATGTTGAACTGCTTGGGGTGAGAAATCTGTTGTAACATTGAATAGGTAGAAAACTTGGTGTTCTGTTACAGTTTTAAGCCATCTTAAGAGGAAGTGAGGTAGTGATTCTGAGTATATGAGGTCTAGAGTGTTTGAGGAGGGTTAGGATGATTTAGATAGATCCAATGTGGTTTGCTGGGAACATAAAACTGGGCTAAAACATGTTAAAAATGGTAGAATTGGATTTGAGCCCCTAAGTTGAGGAAATTAGTGTTTTAGGAAGGAATTTGGGTCTTAATTACTTAATAATCACTGTAGGAACGTTTATAATCATCTAGATAAGTTTAATTAAGTACAAAACACGAATTAGAGGTGTTAAAAGTTGGGGAAAATGACTAGAAATGGAAAAAGGTGTGTGAGTTGCATATTTATGCAAAAATTGAGTTTTGCAGATTATGCAGACTCGCTAAGCGAATGTTTTCGCATAGCGAGTCCTCACAGAGAGGTGCTCTCTGTTTGGTGATTCGTATAGCGAATCTGGGCGCTATGCGACTGGTGGTTGTGTGGGAAATGCTAGTTTAATTCGAATAACAAATTTGGAGCGCTATGCGAGGGTTTAGGATGTGATAATGTGTATCAGAATTTTCAGTTTAGCATAGTGCACAAACTTGGTGTGCTGTGCGATTTGAGTTTAGCATAGCGCACAGGCTTGGTGCGCTGAGCGAATGTGAGTGAGTAAAAACCCACTGTTTTTGTTATTCGCACAGCGAGTTTGGTGCGTTGAGCGACTTTCCCAAAACCTGTTTTTATGCTTTTTATTCCTGTTTTATGATAACCTTGAACTATGTTTTGATTATTAGAATGGTGTAAAAGTATTATGATATTGTATGATCAGTGAGGTTATATGTTTGGAATTAATGTGATAATATTATGACGTTTGGTTGTTCATGTCTTGAGTTAAGTTTCAAAGTGACAATATGGTTGATGGACCTAATTCCATGATCTTCAAGAAGAAGATTCATGGTGGTGCCCTTAGTGTTTAGAATGAAAGTAGGAGCTCAGTCTTGGGGGTCATCCTGAAACTCCAATGGTCTTTCTTCTCACGTAGAGATGATTGAACCATGTGGTGAGGAGTAGCAGGAGGTCTTAGTCTTGGGGGCTCCCAGTGTGCCTCAAGGCTCAGAACAGGCTAACCTCGTGAGTGTGGTAGGGTGGGGAACCCAAGTTTCATAAGCCACCACGAGTGCAAGACCCGTTATAGCTCGACTATCATTCTAAGTCCGAACGAGTCAAGTTTAAAGTGTAACAAGTTGTGTTAAGTGACCCAGTATATATGAATTAAACTTGCATGTTGTGTGTGATTGTTATAACATGATTTTTGTATATCTAGCTCACCCTTCTGTTTGTGTTGTCTTTCGTTTGTGTTGTGTTTTCTGTTGCAATGATCATCCATTTGGATGTGAGCAGAGATAGATGAGGTGCTTCTGGAATAGGCCTCGGAGGGAGATGACATCGCTGCTTAGCCTAGTTAGGATCCATAGGCTTATGTTTATTTTGAAATACTCTATTGTGTTAAAATTTTAAATTACAACCATTTTGGGATGATTGTAACCTTGAGACTTTATCTGCAAGTCTAATTCTAATTGTTATAATATGGACTATTATATTATATAATTTTATATAATCTATAACGTTACATATTACATATTGCATATTGCTTACTTTTTTATTTATTTCGCATACCATATATACTCACGTATTATCTCACAAATTCAAATAAATTATTACTTTATTATAAATAATAAAGTTTAACAAGTTCACCTATCATCTCTAATATATATTTATTAGCCATAAAAAGTAATATTCACATATCTAGAACTTGATATGCATACAAGATAAATCAAGAAATAATCAATATACATTGATTATTATTTGTGCACAACTAATTTATGAAATAAAATATTGTGATGATTTTTAATCACAATTTTTTTAATGAAATTCTAACACAAGGATTGCTGTTTTGGCTTAATTCAGAAACATAAAAGATTAAATTAAATATTCTAAACAACAAAATACTCCTACTAAGTTTAATGAAAAAATAAAATACTATAATTATAAATTGCTTTAAAATGTATATAAAACCTTGCATTTAATTTAAATTTACAATAATATACGATAACTTAACAGTTTCATAATTTTCCATACATATCAATTTAATTGAATTTTAGTTTATTTTTGTAATAATAACTGAATTGAGAAAAAGAAAGTCACAGATAATCTCAAATTGTCGTGAGTATTTAATAATAATTGTTTTAGCACTAAAAAAACAGGCAATCTGGCGATACTGGGAAATAAAAGAAGCGGTGAGTGTGTATGGTTCGAGATGCAAATGCATTCATGTGCAAGTAATGAAATTGAGTTTGGCAATAGCCAAAAAAAGGAATAATAGCAAAAGATTATTGCCCATTATGCACAACACAGAGAGTGTGGTGTGGATCATGAGTGTTCTTAGAGTCTGTAACCCTTCCTTCCATTCCCTTGCCATGGGTATCGCTTCCTCTGTTCATGCGTTTGCATCATTGCCATTATTGGGGAGGCCAAAGTTAAAAACTTTAAGGATCCTCTATCAGCATATTACTACTCACCAACCTTCCCAGGCATGTATTTTTTTTTTCTCTCCTGCTTTTGCTTACTATTAATATTCTATTTTATATTATAATTAGCCTGGCGGTTCTGGATATAGTATGTGATTAAGTGTTTTCTCTTTGGTCTTTTTGTGCGTGTGTGAATCTATGGTCTCGTTGTCTGATTGGGATTGTGGGTATCTGATAAAAATAAAGGTTATGTTTTTCATGTCAATACTTGATTTGACTTTCTTTTAGAAACAGAAAATTTTGTGGAAGGTCTCTTGTTTATGCTGTTTCATTTCCTTTCTCTTGTTTATAATATGGAGTCTTAATATATTTTGGGTATATACGGCTTTGGTTGCATGCCTGTCATATGTTACAATGGCACTGTTGAATTCGGTCTTTAATGATCATATGGTTCTGAAAAAAAGAAGCAGTAATGAAGCCTTTTGGAAGTTTCTTCTGCTCTTTCTTGTCATTGTATTGCAAAGGTTTAGCTTCTGCATGTATGGTTTATTGCATCAAATTGTTTGTCCTGTTTAGAACTTTTGCTTCTCCTTGACCTTCTCCCTTTCTGCCCTGCCCTGGTGATGGTCTAATTTGGACAAGCTTTCCTTCAGCGGCACTTTGCTACTCAATCTTGAACTTTAAAATCCAATAGTACATATGATGCACCACATTTATGGTTTGCATGATTGCATCATTGTAGCTTATGGGTTACGACTACCTGATTGACATTAGTTCCTGAAATTAATATTTTTTTTTTATATTTTCAAGGCTCGAGTAAGAAAAATGAATCAAAGGAAGCATGTTCTGATTAAAAGAAGTAGATGAAAATCAATTTACTTTTATCTAAATGAATTTTCAGTTTTTGACAGAGTACAGTGGCATCACCTGTTCCATATGATTGACCACATGGTGATTGTTGTGTGTTTTTAATGTTTCGATGGAGTGAAGAGGGCTAAAGAGTCCATAAAGCAAGTAAATATTGAGTGCTCTTCTGCCTTGAGCATATAGTAAACTGAAAATAACTGAAATAAGTGATTCTAACTAGTTTTGATGTGAGAAGCTCAAGTCATGTGATAATCATAGGGGTCAATTATGTAGTAGAGATTATTTTTTTGACTTGTCAAACCGTTTTTAATGTTGTTGTATTTTGTAATAGTTTTTGCCAGTTGGGGAGTTGTTAGATTTGAGAATATGGTAATAAAAAAAATTCATCGTCCCTCTTTAAGTTATAAACAATCAGTTTATATCGAAGAACATTTTCTAACTTTTCATGTTTGTTTTCCCTTTTGGTGGTGTCTAGTTTTATTAGTTCATTTTGACACTTTCCTACTATCTTGTGTGTAGGTAAAAGTGCGAAACAAGATAATAGGGTGCCATAAATGTAAACTATATTATAATTGGTTTGAATTTTTTCAATGAACACTTGGGCTACCTTAGTACAGTAGTGGCCCATTCACCTGTAGTATATTTCCTTTAACAAAGATTAACCTTGGAATTCTTGCATGGAGAATGCAACATCCATTTCTCAACCATTAAGGCTCTTAACCATGAAGCAAGGAATTTTACATTACTGGGTGCTATCATTTTTAAATAGCACAATCAATCATATAGCTATATTGAAATTGATATGATTTTGAATGCATTTGTTTGAAAACCACCTTAATTGTTGTCACCCTTACCCTACCTTAGTTGAAACCTCAAGGGTGTGGTTTAGTTTCACACCGACTAGAGGTATATGGCATAATGCTTAAGCAATCCTCACCTTACAATTCAGTTTTGTGGGTTTAAGTTAGGCCTTAAGACTAATTTCAAAGACAGTTATTTTTAAAAAAAATATAACACAAGGGACTTGATTTTTAAATTCCTTGAAAGGATATTTGATTTTTGAAGTTGTCTATGGTCTGAGTTATTTATGTATGTATTTATTTTCACCACCCATGATGAGGATTTCAACTCTATATTGGTTATTTGCCAATCATATAGTTTGTGCTGATATCTTTTAATTGAGTACATTGCTAGCTCCTAGGATATCTTTGTTGTTATTGGTAACTGTTGTGATTTGTTATTATTTCAATTAGTAGATTCTCGTTTCCCCGCTTTTCAGCCTTTCGAGTTTGAAATGGAAGAAAAGTCCAAATCGTGCAATGCGTGTGACACATGTTGCTCATGCCATTGTATGTGCATATTGAACAAGTGGCGACAACAGCGGGAGTGGGAATTGACAACTTTACTGATTAAACCTATGAGGGTAAGGGAACCAATAAGTTCTCTTCTTAGACAGCATTCAGTCCTCTCCTTTGTTGAGTATCACTTGCAATTGTAGTTGTGAGGTAAGTACCATCTCTATTGTATATTCAAATCACAACTTGTTTTCTGGGAATGCAGAAAATTAAACTACTTTTAGGGATTTTGATTTGCGCAAAGACATTGAATTGCTTTTAAACGCGAGCAATTCCCAATGTCGTATTCGATCCAATGCCTACCTGAGGTTTGACCAATTTTGACGGTGATAAATTTTCAAATTGACTTATTACATGAGAGTATAAATTTGGGGATTGATTTTCAATGCCGTTGATAGGAAGAATTCATGAAGATCGGCTTTAGATGATAATTTTTAAATGGTTTTTGGTGTTCATTTTGGCGAAGGTAATTGCGATCATCATGATTCTCAAAACTTGGCCAAAGAACATTCAATAATTGGAATCTTATTCCAAACAGATCGGATCGATTAGATGTTTTTCATTAAGAGATTTCTATGATAATGATCTATCTTTGTGGAGGCAGATTATTTATAATTTTTTGTAACTGTATTATAGATCTCTGGGGAAATTTTCTATCAATAAAAATTGATTCCTATTTTTTTATTTCAGGGAGTACCTTCCTAGTTCCTAAGCAAACAAAGGGAGTCCTCATTAGCAAAAACAGCACTATCCAGTTAGGTTGTTGGGCTGATGAAGTTTATAGCTGTGCTACTTGTGACGGTGGTGATCACATTTGAGATGGATTGAAGCTGAATATCATTTGTAATGCAAGAAGCATCTCCATAAGTCTACGTTGTGATTAAGAACACCAGTGTGCAAGAATCTTGTTCAATTGCATTTGGCGAATCCTTGGGGTGCCTCAGATAAGATGGACGGTGAAGTATGTTGTATTTCCTTTTTATTTACTTCAAGCTATCCACAATTAATTGTAAATTTTTTGAATTAAGATTGTCTGTTCTGTCAGTTGAGATTGACCAAGGATTTCTTAACTGCTTGAGGAGATTCTCAGCGTGATGAATTATATACTCATAATTCACTATCTCTAGTATTAGGAAACTAGGAAAATAAGGAAAGTAGGGAATTTGGAAACAATACAAGTCAATGCCTAATTATTTACAAAAGAATACAGCCAGTATATAGAACATTTTTTATTTTCCCAGAATAGAAAATACTTTCCAACAATCCTCCTCAAGTTGGAACATGTATGCATTGAACTTGTTTGAAGTGGTTTCAATTTACAAGGACCTCAAAGAGGCTTTGTTATGATATATGCAAGCTAGTCACCGGAACTAGCAAACTTAATAGTGATTCCCTAGATGGAACTTTTTATGCTTGGTCCGCTCATAAAAGACTGGATTTGGTACAATATGTGAAGTTGCTTTTATTTTAGTAAATTAATTGCATATGATCAACATTTCCAAATTTTAACTCACCAAGTGTCTATTTTACTTTTACATGTTCACTAGTGAATATTGCTCAATACTAGAGCTTTATAGAAAACTGATTAACTGTATTTTGCTTCTTACTTTTCTAACATACAAGGTTTGCACTATTAAAAACATGTATGTACTCCCAAAAGATGTGATTTTGGACCACCTTCAACTTCCCAAAAATTAACCTGACCCTTGGATTTCTTGCTCTATCAATCTAACTTGTACTCTTTGCTTTTGTAATGCAACCTACCTGGCTTTGTGACTGATAGGTTCAGTGGAAAAGTCTATATTAGGAGAAATAAATAAAGGAGGTAGTTATAACCTCCTGCAGCTGTAACAGGTTGTAAGAAACTAGTATATATAGTCTGTGTTTAGGCTATTGTTTAGTTTTTTGGAGTTTAGGAGGAAAAGGGGTTTGGGAGAGTTAAGGTCCTCTCGAAAAGACCTGTGTGAAAATCTCTGTCCTAGGTTCTATGGACCTTACAAGGTTATTGAGAAAATTGGAATGGTCGCATATAAGTTGGATCTGCCCACTCAGCAGAATCCACCCAGTGTTTCATGTGTCTCTCCTCAAAAGAGCAGTCCAGCCAGCTACTGTTATCCAGCCTTTACCTCCCACACTCACTGAAGAATTAATTTTAGATGTTCATCCATAATAGTTATTAGACACCAGGACAAATAACCAAGGAGAATTGGAAGTCCTAATCAAATGGCAGCACCTTCCAAATTCGGACAACATTTGGGAAGCAGCCTCTTCAATCAGCAATGAATTTCCAGATTTTCACCTTGAGGACAAGGTGAAACTTCATGGAGGGGGTATTGATAGGTTTGGCATTGTCTATAGTAGAAGGAAAAAAACATGACAGTTAGGACGGTTATCTTAGTTTGAGGAAAGGTTGTGGAGAGTGAGGTCTCTCGAAATACCTTAGTTGTAATAGAATTCTTGTCTAATTTCCCTAGTTCATTGATAAGGAAATAGACTTTGTGGGAATAAAGTGTATCTTTCTATACAGTTCTCTTCCTGGACCTATCACATTCCTAGTTTGTGGCCTTACAAATATTCTTACCAAAAGAAGAATGAAATAGAAAAGTTAATTAGTGAGATGTTGAAGGATGGCATCTGTTAGGAATGAGAAGAGTTGGAAGGTTTATGAGAGAAGGAAAAGAATGAGTTAATGAGTTAGTTGAGTAACCCAACTGTTTATTACAGTTGGGTAGGGCGGGAATAGGAGAATATAAATTGTAGAGGGGTTAGTTGCTGAGGAACTTTTGACAGTTGTTAGTTAAACAGGATCCAGCCTGTTGAAGGGATTAAGCCCTTGTTTGTGTGAGTGTACAAACTTGACTTTGTGAATAATATACAGCACAATTTGCTTTCTTTCTGTTTTCTTGGCGCCTAAGTGCTGTTTCTAGAGGATCTTGAACAGGTTTCTTTATCAGAAACCTATCAATTGGTCCGACCTGCCGGATCCCAATTGGAGGAGTAGAGTGGGCGCGTAACGGAGGGAAGAGTAGTGGCGGTGGAAGGACAGTTAGAAGCGGTGGAAATCGCAGTGGCAGAGACGAAGGCAGATACGGGGGCACTGAGACATAATTACGAGGCGATGAGGCAAGACATCCAGGCGATCTTGAGGATGATGGGGGACCGCAATCGCGATCCAAATGGAAACCGCCAAAGAGCCAGTGAGTCGTCCGTGAACGACAACGGTGGCGGAGCCGAAGGAGACCAAGAACGGAGACGAGAGGGAAATCAAGAGTGCCCTCCCAATTGGAGGAAACGGGTAGAGTTACCGGGGTTTGAAGGAGGCGACCCGTTGATCTGGATAAGTAGAGCGGAGAAATTTTATGAAGTGCAGAGGGTGGCCGAGGACGAGAAAGTGCAGTTGGCGTTCATCAGTATGGAAGGATATGCTGCTTACTGGTTTCGGTTTTGGAGAGAAAAAACCCGGAACAGATCGTGGGAGGGATTGAAGAGAGCGTTGGTGATCAGATTTGGAGAAGGAGGTCGAGGGTTCGTCTATGAGAGACTGGCCGCCATTAAACAGGGAGGCGCAGTGAGCGAGTATATTAGGGATTTCGAAGTATTGGTGGGGCAGACTACCGGAATTCCAGAGGAACAACTCTTGGGATATTTTATGGCGGGATTGCAAGAGGAAATAAGCGATTGTGTGAGACCCCATGACCCGCAAGATCTAATGACGGCTATGCGGATCGCCTGGGACGTACAGAAGTTGTGCTCCCAATCCAAAGTCAATGGGGGACAGTCGACCAAGAGTGCCAGTGTGTGGGGAGGAACCGCGAGGGTAGCTACCAGAAGCGAATTCAGTCGCGAGGTACCAGGACGAGGGGGAACCGCAGAGAGTGTGGGTTCGGTCAGGAGGGAGACAAACCAAGGGAGTGGGTTTGCCAGGCCTAATGGAGAGGGAAGAGGAAGAAGTGTTCGAAACTTACCTTATTCGGAATTCATAAAAAGAAGAGAGGAGGGAAAGTGTTTCCGATGTGGGGGACCTTTTAGCCCAGGGCATAGATGTCCCGAAAGAGGATTGAGGATGCTAATTCTGGCCGAAGAAGAGGAGGAAGAGGAGAACGAAGCTAGGGATGAGATGGATCAGTCCCAGATGGAGTTATCTGCTGTTTCAGCAGGGGGTTAACATCTCCAAAAACTATGAAATTAAAAGGAAGGATAGAGGGTCGAGAAGTGTTGGTTCTCATTAACAGTGGCGCTAGCCACAACTTCATATGCCAGGGGTTAGTGGAAGAAATGGGAATGACCGTGGTGGAGACCCCACCTTACAGGGTTAGCTTGGGAGACGGTTATCAAAAGAAGACAGGGGGCTGCTGTGAGGAGGTGAGAATTGTGTTGGGAGAAGTAGAAGTGGTAGAGAAGTTCCACTTGTTTGAGTTAGGAGGGGTGGATGTAATATTGGGAGTGGAATGGTTGGAGAAATTATGGGAAGTGACCTTGGACTGGAGTAAACTGACAATGGCATATCATCAGTTGGGGAGGAAGGTAAGAATTCAAGGAGATCCAACCTTAGAAAGGAAGATGGTGGAACCGGAGGCTTTGCTGAAAATGGCCGAGGCTGAGATGTGGTTGCCGGTCTGGGAGTGTGGTTACTTAGATTCAAAGGAAGGAGGGGAAAAAGGTCAGCTTTTGACAGAAAGCCAAGGAAGGGAGATGGAGTTGTTGTTGAGCCAGTATGAAAAAGTGTTTGCGGATCCAGTGGGGCTCCCTCCTGATCGTGGCATGGTGCATCACATACCTCTCAAAGAGGGCATAGATCCGGTTAATGTTAGGCCTTACAGGTACCCACATGTGATGAAGGAGGAGATCGAGCAGCAAGTCCAGGAAATGCTCAAAACAGGGGTGATTAGACCCAGCCACAGTCCCTATTCGAGCCCGGTGATATTGGTGAAGAAAAAAGACGGTAGTTGGAGGTTTTGTGTCGATTACAGAGCGTTGAATCGTGCCACAGTGCCAGATAAATTTCCAATACCGGTGATTGAGGAGCTATTGGATGAGTTGAGGGGGGCCTGTTACTTTTCAAAGATCGACTTGAAAGCGGGTTATCATCAAATCCGTATGGGAGTGCAAGATGTGGAGAAGACGGCCTTTAGGACACACCAAGGGCATTATGAATTTATGGTAATGCCCTTCGGCCTTACAAACGCCCCAGCTACTTTCCAGAATGCCATGAACAACCTTTTTCAGCCTTATCTAAGGAAGTGTGTTTTGGTATTCTTCGATGATATATTGGTTTACAACACCACTTGGAAAGAGCACCTTGAACATGTTACCGTGGTGTTGGCTACTCTAGAGCAGAACCACTGGGTGGCAAACCGAAAGAAGTGCGAATTTGGGCGAACCATGATTAGGTACTTGGGGCATGCAATATCAAGTCAGGGGGTAGAGATGGACCCTGAGAAGGTGAGAGCTGTGACTGAGTGGAGCATACCAAAAACAGTCAAAGGAGTAAGAGGGTTTTTGGGGTTGACAGGATATTATAGGAGGTTTGTGAAAGACTATGGGAAGATTGCCAAACCCCTGACTGAGTTATTGAAAAAAGGGAAATTCGGATGGAATGAAAAGGCTGAAGAAGCCATGCAACAGTTGAAGACGGCTATCACGACAGCTCCAGTGTTATCCTTACCAGATTTCCACCAACCCTTTCATATAGAATGTGATGCTTCGGGCATGGGTGTGGGGGCAGTGTTGACTCAAGAAGGAAGACCCATTGCCTACTTTAGTAAGGCACTATCAGCAGGAACGTTGAGCAAATCCATTTATGAGAAAGAGTTGATGGCCTTGGTATTAGCCATACAGCATTGGAGGCCTTACCTACTGGGGCAAAGATTTGTGGTGCACACCGACCAGAGAAGCCTTCGCCATTTGTTAGAGCAACGAATAACTACTCAAAACCAACATAATTGGATTGCTAAATTGTTG